GGGGTTGGTAAAGGATAATAATCCACCCGAAGCTGAGGATTCAGCGTACGTTTGAAATCCACCACATAACGAACCTTACCGTCCTTTTTAGGAACTGCAAAACCGGGTGAAGCCCACTCCGCCACTCTGACTCTCACGGCTTAACCTGAATTGATCCAACTATCTAACACTTCATTGACTGGTTTTTCCATGCCAAATGGTAATGGGTTAGCTTTTGCAAAGATAGGTTGAGCATTGTGCTTTAAAATGAGTTTAGCTGTATAACCTTCAATAGCTGTATCAGTATTAATGGCAAAAGATAAAATAGTTATGTACTGCTTTTGGTGTTCACAAGTGACTGCGCCTTGACATTATCTGTGTGTCCTGTTGCTTATCGTCTGTTCTTTTCCTTTTCAATTTACAGCAATAAGTGAAGGGAATCAAAGGGGCTACATTATTTTGGTACCATGGCATCTGACTCCACATCTGATTGGCTAAGGTGAGTGCTTGGTTATTTCACGGTTATTTCAATATGGAAAAGTCTAAGAAGTCGTTGCACGAGCTCTCAGCCAAGTACAGAAGGGAACTTTTTGCGAAAGCTACTGCCTCTCAAAGAACTTCTGAAGTTCAGACTTCCGCACCTGTTGCTTCCTCATCCACCCCATCCACCTCCTCTGACGCCATCTCTAAGCCCACTGAGTGGAGTGCTATCAAACTGGGCGAGCATGAATTAGAAGATTCAGATGACTTCGTGCATTCCTGTGAAAACTGTGTGAATGGAGAACAATGTTCTATTCGGGTGCCGTACATCTCGCCCCAGCTAACTCGCCCCAGGTACAACTCGCCCCGAGACCAACTCGCCCCGATTTTGAGGCGAGTTCCGGATGCAAGTTTTTGCCAACTCGCCCCAATCGACCAAATTTTCAAAATCTCGCCCCATTCTAATTTAATGGCACTATCACTATGCCACCTCTGCACTCGGCCGCCACACACTGCAGAAAATGGCAAAGAATGGCAAAATAAAACCTGTTTGGGTAATATTTGGTCATATTTTGGGCTGTTTTGACCCATTTAGGGCACAATGTTTTTTAACAGGTCTCGGCTTGATGGGAATCGATTCTATGGTTCAAGGGAAGTACCGTATACACAGGTAGGATTGCTTAAAATGACCCTTGGGTACTTGTCTCACACTGCCTGACTCGTAGGGTACCATTGGGCACCGTGAGAAAGGTACCCCATACTGTTGGCTTTGAGTATTTTGAGGCACATGTGTGATCTAGGGGTCGATTTTCTACGCCACGCACTGTGAGAACAGTACCGCATAATATTCGTTTAATGAATTTAGAGCTACATATGTGACTCAGGAGTCAAACCGGGCTAAATTAGACCAACCGAGCTCCCAGTTAAAAGGCCATCCCTCTAAATAAATAACTGCAAACCTATTCAAAAATTCATTTTAATTGGGGCGAGTTAGCACTAGGGTGCAGCGTACTCGGTCGACTTTCGAATTTGAAAAACGGGTCCCCCTCACTTCAAGCCATTTTCGATGTAGTTTCCGGAACCGACCTTGTTTTTTCGCTGAGACAAGGGCTTCAGGTTCCTACCTCGCCTCAAAGTTGAGAAATTTCACTATTTTGCACTAAAATCGAATAATTCGATTAAAAAATATTTCAAAGCAGTACTGAAACGCTTTAAGAGTGGCATATGTGTCTTATATATCTAAAAAAAGTTTTCCACCTGTGACCGGCCGTGGGAGGACCGTTTTAGGCCGTTTTTACAGCGACATTTGTACCAAATTACTCAAAAAACGCTCAAAGTCGTTTTTTAACCCGGCTCTGGGGCCAGGATACGGGTCCTGGGCAGACCGGGGGTGGTCTGACGGGTGGTCTGTAACCACCAGGAGGTGAACCAGTAGTGGGCGAATTTTCCGACAGCCGTAGGCTGTTTGAGGGGAGTAGGTAGGGCAGGAGCCGGGTCAGAATTTTGGGAAATTGAGGAGGCGCCGTGTGTGCATGGCAATGCATTGTTATTTGGAAAAGGGTTAAGTTGGGCAGGTCATAGCTTAACATAGCCTAGTGCTTTGCTAACCCAGGGCTCACCACGAGGAGGTGCCTGCACTTCGAGCCCCGCCCACCCACCCACCCGGGCTTGGTTTTACGTGCTTACTTAACTTTCGTAAGGGGCGTTAAACTGCCCCTTGGTGTTAAATTTTAAGCATTGCTGCCCGGCCCCTGATGGCAGCCCGTATCTGCCCTTCTCTCCGTTCTTCTCCCACCACTGTGGCCGAAGCGATGGTTACGTTCCGAACCATTCGTTCGACCGCCTGTGTACTGCAGGGAAGGGCAGGAATGATGAGGCGGTGCTGCGACGAGATGGCCCCACGGGCTGCCATCAGGGGCCGTGCAGCAATGCCCAAATTTAACACCAAGGCAGAGTTTAACACCAAAAGCAGAGTTTTACAGCGGCACTATTCAGTAGGTATTTGCACCATATGCTGTCTTGAATATCTGGTTTTACTTCTCTAAAATTGCCTTGTCATTTTTTGAAGCCGCTGTTAGGAGAACATCATCTAAGGGGGTCTTGGTGGCAGCCCAAGCACCCGAGGCTGACTTGATATTATCTGTTAAGGACCACCTGCGCCAGGCCATTGGCAAATTCAAAAAGTACGTATCTAAGTAATGTGTTACAATAGAGTGCATTAAAGGGGAGGCTACACTGAAAATAGTGTCTGTGAGGGGTATGCTGTGGATTGAAAACTCATATAGAGTATTTGTATTTTATCTAAGTTTTTGTTAAAAGCATTTTTCAGGGGATAGAAATTAAAATTTTTATCTGTCAGAATTGCATTTGAGAACACAGAAATTAAATTTCTTATTTTCTCTAGCAACGTAATTTAACCCAATGTGCAGGGAATTTTTAGAGCGTTAATTTTTAATGTGTAAGAGAATCAACAATCAAAGGAAAATTTGATTTGATTTCTGTGGCAAATTATTAGTGTCCAAACACTTCATTGGCTCTTATAAATCAATTCTTTCAGTCTTTTCAGACTCTAAGTATCAGTACTGTTTTAAATATTAATATAAATTGGGAATTATCAGTAATTAAGAAATGCACGTTACTTCCTTTGTGTCTTAGGGGGACAATCACATCCTGTCATTGCCCATTACAAATAAAGATGTTCATATATCATCTTGAGGTTGTGGAAAATGTTGAAGTAATGTTCAAATACTTTCACTATTTTGATCCTTCAGATGTGTCAGAGCCACTTAGCTAATAAGCAGGTTATATATCTAAATTGTTCATGCTTTCCAATTTCAAATTTCTATATTTTATGTTTCAGCCACCAGGAACGGGAGGAGAAAAAGAAGCAGAAGGAGGAAGAGAAGAAACAGCAAGATGATGATAATGAGGTGGAGGATGAAGAAGAAGAAAATATGTGGAGTAATGATGAGAATGTTGTGTCAGACAGTGAAAGTGATTAGTAACAATAAATAGTGAAATAATATAGGCATGTCTTTTGAATTTGCTCCCCTGCTCATGCTGTCTTTTTGAAATGTCCTGAACCTTCTCCCTAATGTGAACATGAACCGAAGATATCGATTCTACAATTTTTGAACATATCATTGTGATATACCTAAATGAATATATGTCATTAAATATCACATAGTAGCTTTTTAGAACATATTATATGACATCACTGAATGAATATCTGACGAATGATATCACATGCTAGCTTCTAGAATAAACAAATGTCTGATAGGTCTGATATGGCCGCCTTTCACAGGGTTTATTGACATTCTGGAGGTGAATTAGTGATATCAATGTGAAGATATCTAGATAGAGACATCTCACATACGTTGCATCCATAACTACACCTGCTCTTGGTGAACTCTATACATTCAGTGATAAACATCTGTAGCATATCATTTTATATCAGTTTTGGATGCAGATATCTTTTGCACATGTTTTGTTTGCGGAAATGCAGTCAAATAGCCATTCTGGAGATATCTGGGAGATATCCAATCATCAAAAGACATACAAATTCAGATATCTGATGTCTGCTATCAGATATCTTGCCGTGTGTGTGTGTGTGTGCTCCTAGTGCTTTGCACCCTACGTACTCATTGAGACGTCTGTACGTCAGTTGATGTGACGTGTCAGTGATCAGTGTATCCGTTTCCGGTGGGAGGCGCCGCCCCCGGTTACGGTTTGTTTTCTTCTTCTTTCCCTGCCCGAGTTGCTGTCTGCAACTCGGTTACCGGTGAGTGCACTCCTTCATTCTAAAATCCTTGGGCCAAGGGTACCTGTTATTGTATTGTACTGTTTCATTGTTTTGTGCCGTACTAAATAGCAGTGTTTATAGACAGTATTTTCGTGTCTATTTCCGGTGTAACCGGCCATGCTTTGTTTATAGAGTTTCAGTTGTAATTCTTTGGGTATGTCCCTCAATGCAAAATGTCTACCCTTGTGTATGGGTTCAAATTACTTTCTTTAGTGTTGAGTATCGAATTGTTTATTATTTGCATGTGAGTGTTCACATAACTCCCTCTGGAATTATGTTATGTTGCTGTTCGTATAGTGAATTATTTTCTATCTGCATTTCCTCGCCCAGTGCGTTGTAGTTATGTATATCACGTGTGAAATGTTAGTTTATACGTTTCACTCACTTTTTGCACTAATGTTCTACATTCTTATTGTGTTTGTTTGTAAACAATCAATTTCTATATTTCGTCTATAACTTTCAGTTTATTGTTACCACAATTTTAGTTACTTTTGTATCTTTGTCTACCATTTTGAATGTACTACTGTACTTTCTGTACTTTTCCATTCTTTTATTACTTGTTGTGGTAATTTCTCTAACTTTAAATCCACTCTGTGAATTCCTTGAACTATGCTGTATTTGTACCGGCATTCTAGTTGTAAACCTGAAAGTTTTTAAAACATGCATAAGAATTATTAAATATCTGTAAAACATTTAATTGGGCCTTGTATTTAAATTCATTTATTTTGATTTACTTACTTGCATCAACATCAAGAGTCGAGCAATGACACCCACGCATCCACGAAAGCAAGCCACATTTTGTAATTCTCCTCTTCAATACTGCAAAACCTTTACAGCGCCGCACCCCATGGGCACTGACCCCACAGGCCACAGGAGTCTCGGGACGTCGACGGCGTCCTGGGCCAGAGTCGCGAAAAGGACGCCCGTCCGTCCCCGGGCCGTGCTTCGGCGAGGCCTCGATGGAGGAGGGCGTCTCCCTAGCACCACAGCGACGCGACACCGCGACGACGTCAAAGGGCTGTG